AATCGAAAAATCCAAAATTTAAAAACTTGAACAGTAAAAATATCGAGAAAATGAAGAATAAAAATTCGAATACTAGAGAAATCGAAATATCAAACGAAAAATTGAAAAATTGAGAAAACGAGAAATTGAAAAGCGAAGAATTAACAAAGCAAAAAATCAAAAATTGAAGAATTGAATAACCGAAAAATCGAGAAACTGAAACATCGAAAAGTCGAAAAATTGAGGAATGAGAAAATAAAAAACTGAAAAATTGGGAAATCAAAAACCCCAAAAATTGAAAATTTAGAAAAAGAAAAAATTTTTAAATCGAAAAATTGAGAAAGCAAAAATTTGAAAAATCAAGAAAGTGAAGAATCAAAAAACAAAAAACCCTAAAGTTAAAATATGTTTCTTTTCGGTTAATGTTTCGATTGCTCAATCGTTCGATTTTTCAATTCTTAGATTTTTCAATTTGTCGAATTTTTTGATTTTAAAATTTTCAATTATTTCGGTTTCTCAATTGTTCAATTTCTAAATTTTTTATTTTTCAATGATTCAATTTTTCGATTCTTCAAACCCGATTTCATGAATTTTAGGTTTTTTGATTTCTCGATTTCTCGTTTTTTTATTTTTCAATTTTTGTTACATTTTTCGACTTTACCTTTTTTTGATGTTTCGAGATTTCGTGATTTTGTAAATGTTTTAATACATATTTAGTTTTTTTAAGCTTTAGATCTTTCACTTTCCCGATTTCTCGATTCTTTTTTTTTTGTTTTATCAGTTTTGCTTTTCGATTTGTCGATTTTTCAAGTTTTCGATTTCTTAATGTTTCAGTATTCCATTTTTCGAAATGTTTCAATTTTTCGATATTTTTATTTTTTCATTTTTTAAATTCTGTATTTTTCTTTTCTGTTAATGTTTCGATTGCTCGATCTTTCGATTTTTAAAATGTTTCATTTTTGGATTTTTCAATTCTTAGAGTTTTCAATTATTTGATGTTTCGATTGTTCAATCTCTCGATTTTTTATTTTTCAAATTTTCGATATTTAAAATTTTTCAGCTTTTAATTTTTCATTTGGGTTATTTAGACTTCGACGAATTTTCCAAAATTGAGAAACTCAACATCAAATAAACTCGGAAAATTGAAAATTTAAAACCAAAATATCTATAATTTCAAAAATTTGAAAAATTGAAAATCGACTAATCGAAAAATCCAAAATTTAAAAACTTGAACAGTAAAAATATCGAGAAATTGAAGAATAAAAATTCGAATACTAGAGAAATCGAAATATCAAACGAAAAATTGAAAAATTGAGAAAACGAGAAATTGAAAAGCGAAGAATTAACAAAGTAAAAAATCAAAAAATTGAAGAATTGAATAACCGAAAAAACGAGAAACTGAAACATCGAAAAGTCAAAAATTGAGAAATGAGAAAATAAAAAACTGAAAAATTGGGAAATCAAAAACCCCAAAAACTGAAAATTTCGAAAATGAAAAAATTTTTAAATCGAAAAATTGAGAAATCAAAAATTTGAAAAATCAAGAAAGTGAAGAATCAAAAAACAAAAAACCCTAAAATTAAAATATGTTTCTTTTCGGTTAATGTTTCGATTGCTCGATTTTTCGATTTTTAAAATGTTTCATTTTTGGATTTTTCAATTCTTAGATTTTTTAATTATTAGATGTTTCGATTTTTTATTTTTCAAATTTTCGATATTTAAAATCTTTCAGTTTTTAATTTTTCATTTGGTTATTTAGACTTCGACGAACGAATTGAAAAATTCCAAAATTGAGAAACTCAACATCAAATAAAATCGGAAAATTGAAAATTTAAAACCAAAATATCTATAATTTCAAAAAATTGAAAAATTAAAAATCGACTAATCGAAAAATTCAAAAGTTAAAAACTTGAACAGTAAAAATATCGAGAAAATGAAGAATAAAAATTTGAATACTAGATAAATCGAAATATCAAACGAAAAATTGAAAAATTGAGAAAACGAGAAATTGAAAAGCGAAAAATTAACAAAGCAAAAAATCAAAAAATTGAAGAATTAAATAACCGAAAAATCGAGAAACTGAAACATCGAAAAGTCGAAAAATTGTGAAATGAGAAAATAAAAAACCGAAAAATCGGGAAATCAAAAACCCCAAAAATTGAAAATTTGGAAAATGAAAAAATTTTTAAATCGAAAAATTGAGAAATCAAAAATTTGAAAAATCAAGAAAGTGAAGAATCAAAAAACAAAAAACCCAAAAATTAAAATATGTTTCTTTTCGGTTAATGTTTCGATTGCTCAATCGCTCGATTTTTCAATTCTTAGATTTTTCAGTTTGTCGAATTTTTTGATTTTAAAATTTTCAATTATTTCGGTTTCTCAATTATTCAATTTCTAAATTTTTTATTTTTCAATGATTCAATTTTTCGATTCTTCAATCCCGATTTCATGAATTTTAGGTTTTTTGATTTCTCGATTTCTCGTTTTTTTATTTTTCAATTTTTGTTACATTTTTCGACTTTACCTTTTTTGATGTTTCGAGATTTCGTGATTTTGTAAATGTTTTAATACATATTTAGTTTTTTTTTAAACTTTAGATCTTTCACTTTCCCGATTTCTCGATTCTTTTTTTTTTGTTTTATCAGTTTTACTTTTCGATTTGTCGATTTTTCAAGTTTTCGATTTCTTAATGTTTCAGTATTCCATTTTTCGAAATTTTTCAATTTTTCGATATTTTTATTTTTTCATTTTTTAAATTCTATATTTTTCTTTTCTGTTAATGTTTCGATTGCTCGATCTTTCGATTTTTAAAATGTTTCATTTTTGGATTTTTCAATTTTTAGATTTTTCAATTATTTGATGTTTCGGTTGTTCAATCTCTCGATTTTTTATTTTTCAAATTTTCGATATTTAAAATTTTTCAGTTTTTAATTTTTTATTTGGGTTATTTAGACTTCGACGAAGGAATTGAAAAATTCCAAAATTGGGAAACTCAACACCAAATAAAATCGGAAAATTGAAAATTTAAAACCAAAATATCTATAATTTCAAAAAATTGAAAAATTAAAAATCGACTAATCGAAAAATCCAAAATTTAAAAACTTGAACAATAAAAATATCGAGAAAATGAAGAATAAAAATTTGAATACTAGAGAAATCGAAATATCAAACGAAAAATTGAAAAATTGAGAAATGAGAAAATAAAAAACTGAAAAATTGGGAAATCAAAAACCCCAAAAATTGAAAATTTGGAAAATGAAACAATTTTTAAATCCAAAAATTGAGAAATCAAAACTTTGAAAAATCAAGAAAGTGAAGAATCAAAAAAAAATCCTAAAATTAAAATATGTTTCGATTGGTCAATCGTTCGATTTTTCAATTCTTAGATTTTTCAGTCCGTCGCATTTTTTGATTTTAAAATTTTCAATTATTTCGGTTTCTCAATTGTTCAATTTCTAAATTTTTTATTTTTCAATTATTCAACTTTTCAATTCTTCAATCCGGATTTCATGAATTTTAGGTTTTTTGATTTCTCCATTTCTCGTTTTTTTATTTTTCAATTTTTAGTAATAATAATTCGAATTCTCGACCTTTCATGTTTCGATTTCTCGGTTTTTTGATTTCTAAATTTTTGCATTTTCCTAGTTTTTCGACATTTAAGTTTTTGGGAAATTTCGCTGTTTGAATTGTTCTGTTTTTTACATTTTAAATTGTTCGATTTCTTAAATTTGTTGATTTTGCGATGTCTCGATTCATTGACACTCCAACGTTTCAATTTTTCCATGTCGGGTTCATTTCTTCGATAACTGCTACCACTTTTCGAGAAATACCATAGTTTTTCGAATAACATCTAATTTCAAGGCAAATTTCCGTGACATAAAACTAACACAATGAGTAATTATTTTAGATAAGCCTGAATTATTGCATTCATTAAAAAAAATTGTTCCACAAAAATTAGTAGATAAACGTGCGTTAATTAACGTCGTCAAACTTATCACTGTTATCACATAAAATTCGTAAATTTATGACCTTTTCTAGGTCACCAGAAAAATGTGAATACCTTATTTAACTTGTTTGTAGTCATGCGGTGACTAATGGTCCATTAACACAAATAATGCAAAATGTATCAACTGTGATCCTCCGCTCATAAAAACAATTAATTTTACAACCCACATGCCAACACAAAATTAAACTCCAATTAGGCTTTTATGTCTTAAACGTGTCGAACGAACGACTCGAAAAAAGAGCAGGTGTTTAGGAGTTGCTATCATGACATTCATTAATTTATTAATCTTTTAGCAATCACTGATAAAGCTGCTCTTATCACAACCGTTGCAGCAAACTTGTAATTTGTACTAATGGAAAAATCTGACAGCTGTTTTGCTAATTATGATTACGTTAAAGTGGATAAACAAACGTGAAAATAAAACAGAACCTCCCTCGCCCCTGAAGTATGGACCATAATTTTTGGTTGATTGTTTCACAAAAGCGTGTCCTCACTACTTAAAATTCCTCCGGTCATTCTAAACACACAATGTTCCATTATTTGCAAATCAACAATCATCCAAAACAACAACCAGCAAAGTTTGTCGGAATGACCTTGCCCATTATGTTATTTAATGTAGTGTGGCTAAACATCGCCCTTTGCCCCCGAGCCGTAAGAATCACTACCAACCGACTAAAACCCGGATAAACTTTCACCTTTAACCTTTTTATCAATCACCATGAGGGAACGCCCGTCTGGAAACCGCCACCGATTTGCCAGCAATCAGATCGGTTGTTATCGCCAGATCAGAGTCCACCCAACTTTTACGGTCTCCGCTGTATATAAAACATGACTTAACATCCATGTGTCAGTCCAGTTTAACCTCTCCCAGTGTAAGAACGCGCAAAAATGGGTCTCGATTCGGTCTTGGGGAAAAAGTTCAAGTTGAGCAAAAGCGAGAACTTCGATGACTACTTGAAGGCTCTGGGTGAAGATCACCCGGTTTAGTAAACCCGATTACAATGGTCTTTTTCAGGCGTCGGGTTGGTCACCCGGAAAATGGGCAACGCCGTCTCCCCAGTGGTGGATCTGACCAAAGACGGCGAAGAGTACACCTTGTCGTCTTCGTCGACTTTCAAGAACGTCATCCTCAAGTTCAAGCCGGGGGTGGAGTTCGACCAGGAAACGCCCGACGGGAGGAAAGTCAAAGCTACGATCACGGTCGACGGGAACACCCTCCACGAGATCCAGAAGGACCCGGGATCCGGGAAGGAGACGGTCATCGACAGGACTTTCACCGATGATGAAGTCAAAATGGTCAGTTGGGAGAGTTTTGAGGATTTGTTTGACTTTTTGGTTGCAGGTGATGAGCGTGGAGGGAATCACTGCCACCAGGATTTATAAAATTCAGGCCTAATTTGTGTTCTTGCGAAGCGCAGCTCCGGACTGATTAGTTTAGTATTTTTGTTTCTCCTATGGACGCATTTACTTTGATAAGTAAACGTTGTACTGAAGTAGACTTGTGTTTTTTTTCAAAAAAGGGTGTCGAACAAACGTGTGTTAAAAATCTGGGTTGCAGATGTGCACTTTAATTATTTTGTTCGTTGTTTACTGTTCATTTAACAGCGTCAATATTTGGTTTTGTTTGCCTTGACTGAAATCATGGGAATTTACTTAACTCTATTCTAAAACTATGATGCATGAAAGTGAAAATTGTGTAAACGGATGACTAATTTAATTGCTACTTTATGCGCTAAGTTGTTTGTAAATTTTACTTACCCTGTCGTTATAATAATAAGACGCTCGAACACAATAATAAAAGAGCGAATACTGAGACTACCAAATCTTAAATACACACCCCTCCCTTTTCTCGATCAGCCGAAAGTTAAAAAACAAACTAATTAAGTGCAAATTAAAAATAATGTCATGATAACCTGTGATTCACGTGATAAATATTTTAATATTTTTGGATTATTTATATAAAACACTCACCCGCTAAAACACAGGAAAGACAGAACTGGAGGACACTGGGGCTTAAATATATCTGTCCCCACTTTTTCACCTTTTCCTCGAGGGCTTGTCATATAATTAAAAAAAATAAAAATAAAAAAATGACAAGTGTTTTCTGCGCTTTTTTCCTTTACGTAATGTACAAATACAAATAGTGTGTCTTGGGTAAGTATTGTTGATAAGTTCTGAGTCACGTATCACATTTTTAGGCGCTAATTTATTGTTTCCAGTCTCGTGACTTTGTGGAGTTGTGGTTCACTGACATCTTTGTCCCTCTATCTCTCTTACTTCTTCATTATTGTTGTTTCAAGTTCTCTCTTTAGTGTGAACATGAACCGTAAATCGTGTAATAGGACCGATTTTTGATTGTTGGTTTTTAATTATTCTTTTTCATTTTTACGTTTTTGGAATTTTTCGATTTTCCAATCATTTTGTTTTTTCAATACTTCAATTTTTCGATTTGTAGTTTCTAGGTTCCAATTTAAAATTTTTCAATTATTTGATTTTGAAACTTTTTCATTTATTCTTTTAATGTAGTTCCACTTTTTTTGATTTTTCAACTTTTGAGGTCAAAAATGAAGAAACGAAAAAGAGTAAAGTCAAAACTTTGAAAAATCTAAAAACTGGAATTCAAGAACATGAAAAATTGGAGGAACGAGAAATTGAAACATTGGAAGATTAAAAATTGAGACAATAAAAAATCTAAAACTGCAAAATCGAAAAAACGAAATAAATAATCGAATTGTTAAAAATCAAAGAAATCCGAAAAAAAAAATTGAGAAATCCAAAATTGCAACAATGAAAGATTTAAAAATTGGAAAGACAGGGATTTCTCAATTTTTCGACTTTTCGATTTGTCCTATTTTCAATACTTCGATTTTGGGAATTTTTCCATTTCTGGATTTTTAATTTTTCGATCTTTTAATTTTAGATTTTTCGGTTTGTCGATTTCTCGATCTTTGGATATTTAAATTCTTCAACTTTTCGATGTTTCGATTTCTAAATTTTGAATTTTTCCATTTTTCGACTTTTCGATTTTAGAATATTTGATCTTTCGGCATTTGATATTTCGTTTTTTCTATATTTCAAATCTTAGCTTTTTGGATTTTTTCAAAACGTCGATTTTGGAATTTTTCGGTTTTTTAATTTTCGATTTTTAGATTTTACTTTTTTCGAATATTTGATTCACCGAGAGTTTCGATCTTTCGATATTTGGACTTTCGATTTCTCAATATTTCAATTTTTTTGACGTTTCGATTTTCCTATTTTTCGAATTTTGAATTTTTGATTTTTTGACTTTCCGGAAGATTTTTCAGATTTTCAATTTTTTTATTTTTCGATTCCTCAATGTTTCGATTCTTCAATTTCTCGATTTTTTAATTTTTCGATTTTTGAATTTATTGATTTTTCAGTATTTTTAAATTTTTCGATTTTTCTCCTTTTAGATATTTCCATATTATGATTTTCCCATTTCCTGATTTCTCAATTTTTCGATGTTTCGGTTTCTCAATTTTTGATTATCAATTTTTTGATTTTTCAAATTTTCGATTCGTCACTTGATCAATTTTTCGATTCTTTAATTTTTTTTATAATTTCGATTTTTTAATTGTTTAAAATTAGGATGTTTTGCTTTCTCGATTTCTCGTTTTGTTGATTTTTTCGTTTTACGATTTTTTAATTTTTTTAATATGTAAATTTTTCGATTTTTCGAATTTTCCGATCTTAACTTCTCGGTTTTTCAATGTTTAAACTTTTTAGATTTCTCAACTTTTCAAGTATGTACTCTATTTGTCATGTTTTCAACACTTCAATTTTGGAAATTTTTCCATTTCTGGATTTTTCAGTTTTTCAATCTTTTAATTTTAGATTTTTTAGTTTGTCGATTTCTCGATCTTTTGATTTTTCGATTTGTTGATGTTTCAGTTTTTCAACTTTTCAATGTTTCGATTTCTCAATTTTTCAATTTTTCCATTTTTCGACTGTTGGTTTTTCGATTTTAGAATATCCGATTGTTCGGTATTCGATATTTTATTTTTCTTACATTTCGAGAATCTTCGTCTTTTCGAATTTTTCAAAATCTCTATTTTCGATTTTTTCAGTTTTTTGATTTTCAATTTTTCGATATTTGAATTTTGGACTGACTTTTGTTCCCTTTTCGATTTCTCGATGTTTTAATTTTTGATGTTTCGAATTTTCCATTTTTGGAATTTTCAATTACTCAAACTTTGTAACTCCTATTTCCCGATTTTTCAGTTCAATTTTTATACTTTTTATTTTTTTTAGTTTCGCTTTTTCAAATTATTGACTTCTCGATTTTTTTATTTTTTGATTTCTCTAATTTCCGATGTTTTAATTTTTTTACGATTTTTCAATTCTTCGATTTTTTAATTTTTTGGTTTTTCAATACATATTTCAATTTTTGACATTTCTAAATTTTCTCTTTTCTCCTTTTATTCAATATTTTGAATTTCCCATTTCCCGTTTTCTCAATTTTTCGAAGTTTCTGTTTTCGGATTCCTCGATTTTTTGATTTTCAGTTTATCGGTTGATCAATTTTTCGAGATTTGAGTTTTGGAATTTTTCAATTGTTTGATTTTTTACAATTCAGATTTTTTGATTTCTGGATTTCTCGTTTTTTAGATTTTTCAGTTTTTTGATTTTAAATTTTTAATTTTTTAGATTTTATATTTTTCAATTTATCAATTTTTCTTTTTCTCGATTTACCCAGATTTCAATGTTTCGATTTTTCATTTTTTGGATTTTTCGTTTTTTTTTTTAATTTCAAACTTTAATTTTTCGATTTTGGACTCTTCCAATTTCTCGATTTTGAGACTGCTCGATTTTTCAATTTTTTAACTTCTCGACTTTCCGATTTCTCGATCTTTCGATCCTTCACCAATTCGATTTTTCGAATTTTCCGATCTTAACTTCTCGGTTTTTCAATGTTTGAAGTTTTTAGATTTCTCAACTTTTCAAGTACTCTATTTGTCATGTTTTCAACACTTCAATTTTGGAAATTTTTCCATTTCTGGATTTTTCAGTTGTTCAATCTTTTAATTTTAGATTTTTTAGTTTGTCGATTTCTCGATCTTTTGATCTTTCGATTTGTAGATGTTTCAGTTTTTCAACTTTTCAATGTTTCGATTTCTCAATTTTTCAATTTTTCCATTTTTCAACTGTTGGTTTTTCGATTTTAGAATATCCGATTGTTCGGTATTCGATATTTCATTTTTCTTACGTTTCGAGAATCTTCGTTTTTTCGAACTTTTCAAAATCTCCATTTTCGATTTTTTCAGTTTTTTGATTTTCAATTTTTCGATATTTGAATTTTGGACTGACTTTTGTTTCCTTTTCGATTTCTCGATGTTTTAATTTTTGATGTTTCGAATTTTCCATTTTTGGAATTTTCAATTACTTAAATTTTCTAACTCCAATTTCTCGATTTTTCAATTTTTAGATTTTTTATTTCTTTTAGTTTCGTTTTCTCAAATTTTCGTTTCCATTCTTCAATTCCTCGATTTTTCAATTCCTTTATTTTCAATTTTCGACTCAATTTTTTGGAGTTTCATTTTTAGATTTTCAATTTCTCGATTCTTTAATTTCTTGATTTTTCAAATTGTTGACTTCTAGATTTTTTTATTTTTCGATTTCTCTAATTTCCGATGTTTTAATTTTTTTACGATTTTTCAATTTTTCGATTTTTAATTTTTTGGTTTTTCAATATTTCAATTTTTGACATTTCTAAATTTTCTCTTTTCTCCTTTTATCCAATATTTTGAATTTCCCATTTCCCGTTTTCTCAATTTTTCGAAGTTTCTGTTTTTGAGTTGCTCGATTTTTTGATTTTCAGTTTATCGGTTGATCAATTTTTCGAGTTTTGGAATTTTTCAATTTTTTGATTTTTTAAAATTCAGATTTTTTGATTTCTGGATTTCTCGATTTTTAGATTTTTCAGTTTTTTGATTTTAAATTTTTAGTTTTTTAGATTTTATATTTTTCAATCTATCAATTTTTCTTTTTCTCGATTTATCCAGATTTCAATGTTTCGATTTTTCATTTTTTGGATTTTTTTTGAAATTTTACATTTTTCGATATTTTATTTTTTATTTTTTAAAATATTTCACTTTTTATTGGAATTTTCAATTTCTCAATTTTTCAAGTTTTCAATTTGTTATCTTTTCAACACTTTCCAATTTTCTACTTCTCTTAAGTTCTCGATATTCCGCTTTTTAAATTTTTCGATTTTCGGCTTACTTTCTAGAGGTAAAAAACAAAAATCGCAAAATCAAATGTTATAATTTTTCACAGAAGCGGGATTTATTGAGCTTTACTTCAAGGACGAGGGAAGTTCTGTGGAAATAATATTGTACAATTTTTTTTCCAAAAATCTGGTATCAACACGGTTTCATACACCATAAAGGTGTATCTTATTTTATAAAAATAAAAATAAATTTACTATTGTAAATATTGGAAACGACGTAATCAAGTTGTTGGTGGGGATGATTAGCTAATTTTTTTGACGTTTTACTGTCCACATGACAGTCCTAATAAGGACTATATCACCAATTTTCCGCTAATCATACGTCGTATTTTGAATTAATTGTTGTATATTTTGATTTTAATGAACACATTATTATTTAAATTAATTTGCATTACTTATAAACATTTAAAATGACAGGGGCCTTAAAAATACCTGCAATCAATCGCAAGAAGTTTAAGGGAAATTAAAAATGATTTTGTCCCTGACTCCTGAAATTGTCCGGAGTCCGGCTCTGTTCCTGTCATTGGTGTACGATGTGTTGCCTATCTTCCAGGTGCTTTCATACACGCCAACCAATCTCTTGCCCTTTGACCCTGGTAACGACGCACACCCAAAAAATACATTCTTACTCTCTATCTCCCCTGTAATCATAATTGCAGTCCCGTTTATCAGATTTCCCATTAAAATCCTCCCAGAATTGTTTCTCTCCGGCACAGCGCTCTCTATCGGCAACACACAAAACACTCCCTAACGGTATATCCACACTGTATTCTATCTCCGCTTTCATAACGGTCCCCTCGTGTGTCAGACAGAGAAACCGAACCGTGCTTGTGCAAGTTAAATGCCAGTGGTGTAAATCAAGCAAGTAGTGAAAATAGTTGACGTTCAATGTTTGTTGTGTTCGTTTTACGTCCACTTTCTGTCAAAAATAACGCGAAAAGTCGCGCTTTCCCAGCCAGGATAATGTGCGTGCGTGTGTGTTGTGTTGTGCCGAACCTAGGATAAATTCCATCGAACCGTCACCCAGATTAGGCTCAAAGGTGTGTACTGCCGCTATCTTGGGCGAAAAGTCGCCAGAACCCCTCGCACTATCGATTATTTTCGCCCGAACCTAACCTCATTTCGAAAGTGTGAACTCACCCCGAAGTGTCAAACCGCCCCGATCGACGCCTCCCCGATCAAACCGTCCGTGACAACTCTGACATTTCGCGGAGAATTCTTGAGGTGTTACGAAGACTTTTATGAGCAATCTTCAAAGGTGCATATTTGACCTTGACTCCAGCTGATTTCTGGTTTTAGTTCCTTGTGCGGCGATAAATCTCGGACGAGTTTTCTTTTTGCTCGGGAGAAAGTGATGCCGATTTGCGGCGACGGCGGAGAACAATCGAAATTTTTGACAGCCGGAGGAAAAAGTCGGAAAGCGGCGCTTCCTTCCGCGCTCGGGCCAGTGTGACGGCGGGGCGGAGGCTCGAATCGCGGCATTCTGCGTTGAAAATAGGTGGAAACTCGAAATAAACAAACAGTTTTATGCGAAGCAGACGCGAAATCCGGCCAGAACTGTCACATCGAGCAGCTGAAATAATAAAAGACAAACGCGAACCTTGGGCCCCTTTTGATAATTATTGTCATTATTGTGAGACGAACGAAATTATGAAATTCCCGGTGGAAAATTGTCTTTGCAAAGGGAGAAATGTTTTGTACTTTTGTAGTTGTCGGTCGTATTGATTGTGGTGACAAAGAGGGTCGGGGTATGATATACACCCCTCCATGAAATTTTTTCTTCACGTTGGATAAACTGATTCATTGACAGAAGGGGTTGTCTGTCAGTGCGTGAGACTGACGTTCACTTAGGGTTGATTTGCTACATTTATTGTTATTTAGAAATCATATTATCGAATTGCTTCAAATTTAAAATTCCAAAATAAGTCTACATACATTAAGAAAAAGAAGCAAAATATAAGCCCCGCCCACCCACCCTGTCTCAATTCTGATGATTTTATTTATTGGTCCTGAGCCAAGAAGGCGGAGCTTAACTGAAAATTCCATATTTCTCTACGAGAATTTGCAAACATGTTTTAAGTTTATTGTTCTGAAAAGACGACTGCGTATATTAATAACAAAAGATAAAATATAAGCCCCGCCCACCCACCCTACCTCAATTGTGATGATTTTTTTTCTAATCGTCGAGAGTCAAAGGAACGGAATTTAATTGCAAAATCCTTATTGTTTCTGTACAAACAATTATGTACGATGTAAGACATGTTTTTGAGAATTATGTTATTCAAAGGATACTATATGTATATATTAAGAAAAAATTGAAGCCAAAGATTAAACTCCACCCATACCTGCCCTGATCTAAACAGTAGTGAATTTTTCATTCGTTGGCAGACCGAGAGGCGGAGCCTAATTGCAAAATCCATTTTTCCTTACAAAAATGTACCATTTTAAACGTGTTTCAAGTTTCTAAGCAAAAAAAATCATCACAGTTGAGATGGGGTGGGTAGGCGGGGTTTATATTTATCCCTTTTTTCTTAATGTACATAGTATTTTTTGAACAACACCATACTCAAAAACACGGTTTTAATTTCTTGTAAAGAAATAAGACTTTTGCAGTTTAGCTCCGCCCCCTTTGTTCACGGCGAATAAAAAAAATCATCACAATTGAGATAGGGCGGGTGGGCGGGCTTACATTTTTCCTTTTTGTTTTAATATGTGTGGAGACTTCTTTTCATAACATGAAACTTAAAATATGTTTTTGTATAAGGAAATATATATTTTGCAATTAGGCTCCGCCCCATAATCGCAAAATTCATATTTCCTTGCAGAAATGTACCATTTTAACAATGTTTTAAGCTTCTTGTTGTGAAAACATGGCTATGTATATTAAGAAAAAGAGGCCCACCCGCCCTGTCTCAATTCTGATGATTTTATTTATTGGTCGTGAGCCAAGAAGGCGGAGCTTACCAGCAAAATCCATATTTCTCTACGAGAAATTGCAAACATGTTTTTAATTTCTTGTTCTGAAAAGACAACTACGTATATTAATAAAAAAAGATAAAATATAAACCCCGCCCACCCACCCTATCTCAATTGTGATGATTTTTTTTTCTAATCGTCGAGAGTGAAAGGAGCGGAATTTAATTGCAAAATCCTTATTGTTTCTGAACAAACAATTACGATGTAAGACATGTTTTTGAGTATTATGTTATTCAAAGGATACTATATGTATATATTAAGAAAAAATTGAAGCCAAAGATTAAACTCCACCCATACCTGCCCTGATCTAAGTAGTAGTGAAGTTTTCATTCGTTGGCAGACCGAGAGGCGGAGCCTAATTGCAGAATCCATATTTCCTTACAAAAATGTACCATTTTAAACGTGTTTCAAGTTTCTAAGAAAAAAAATCACAGTTGAGATGGGGTGGGTAAGCGGGGTTTATATTTATCCATTTTTTCTTAATGTACATAGTATTTTTTGAACAACACGATACTCAAAAACATGTTTTTAATTTCTTGTAAAGAAATAGGTATTTTGCAGTTAAGCTCCGCCCCCTTTGTTCACGGCGAATAAAAAAAATCATCACAATTGAGGTAGGGCGGGTGGGCGGGCTTACATTTTTCCTTTTCGTTTTAATATGTGTGTAGACTTTTTTTCACAACATGAAACTTAAAATATGTTTTTGTATAAGGAAATATATATTTTGCAATTAGGCTTCGCCCAATAATCGCAAAATCCATATTTCCTTGCAGAAATGTACCATTTTAACAATGTTTTAAGCTTCTTGTTGTGAAAACATGGCTATGTATATTAAGAAAAAGAGGCACAACATAAGCCCCGCCCACCCGCCCTGTGTCAATTCTGATGATTTTATTTATTGGTCGTGAGCCAAGAAGGCGGAGCTTAACTGCAAAATCCATATTTCTCTACGAGAAATTGCAAACATGTTTTTAATTTCTTGTTCTGAAAAGACAACGACGTATATTAATAAAAAAAGATAAAATATAAGCCCCGCCCACCCACCCTATCTCAATCGTGATGATTTTTTTTCTAATCGTCGAGAGTCAAAGGAACGGAATTTCATTGCAAAATCCTTATTGTTTCTGAACAAACAATTACGATGTAAGACATGTTTTTGAGAATTATGTTATTCAAAAGATAGTATATGTATATATTAAGAAAAAATTGAAGCCAAAGATTAAACTCCACCCATACCTGCCCTGATCTAAATAGTAGTGACGTTTTCATTCGTTGGCAGACCGAGAGGCGGAGCCTAATTGCAAAATCCATATTTCCTTACAAAAATGTATCATTTTAAACGTGTTTCAAGTTTCTAAGAAAAAAAAAATCATCACAGTTGAGATGGGGTGAGTGGGCGGGGTTTGTATTTCGCCTTTTTTTATTAACGTACATAGTATTCTTTGAACAACACGATACTCAAAAACACGGTTTTAATTTCTTGTAAAGAAATAAGAATTTTGCAGTTAAGCTCCGCCCCCTTTGTTCACGGCGAATAAAAAAAATCATCACAATTGAGATAGGGTGGGTGGGCGGGCTTACATTTTTCCTTTTTGTTTTAATATGTGTGGAGACTTCTTTTCACAACATGAAACTTAAAATATGTTTTTGTATAAGAAAATATATATTTTGCAATTAGGCTCCGCCCCATAATCGCAAAATCCATATTTCCTTGCAGAAATGTACCATTTTAACAATGTTTTAAGCTTGTTGTTGTGAAAAGATGGCTATGTATATTAAGAAAAAGAGGCACAACATAAGCCCCGCCCACCCGCCCTGTCTCAATTCCGATGATTTTATTTATTGGTCGTGAGCCAAGAAGGCGGAGCTTAACTGCAAAATCCATATTTCTCTACGAGAAATTGCAAACATGTTTTTAATTTCTTGTTCTGAAAAGACGACTACGTATATTAATAAAAAAAGATAAAATATAAGCCCCGCCCACCCACCCTATCTCAATTGTGATGATTTTTTTTTTAATCGTCGAGAGTCGAAGGAGCGGAATTTAATTGCAAAATCCTTATTGTTTCTGAACAAACAATTACGATGTAAGACATGTTTTTGAGTATTATGTTATTCAAAGGATACTATATGTATATATTAAGAAAAAATTGAAGCCAAAGATTAAACTCCACCCATACCTGCCCTGATCTAAACAGTAGTGAAGTTTTCATTCGTTGGCAGACCGAGAGGCGGAGCCTAATTGCAAAATCCATTTTTCCTTACAAAAATGTACCATTTTAAACGTGTTTCAAGTTTCTAAGAAAAAAAAATCATCACAGTTGAGATGGGGTGGGTAGGCGGGGTTTATATTTATCCCTTTTTTCTTAATGTATATAGTATTTTTTGAACAACACGATACTCAAAAATATGTTTTTAATTTCTTGTAAAGAAATAAGAATTTTGCAGTTAAGCTCCGCCCCCTTTGTTCACGGCGAATAAAAAAAATCATCACAATTGAGATAGGGCGGGTGGGCGGGCTTACATTTTTCCTTTTTGTTTTAATATGTGTAGACTTCTTTTCACAACATGAAACTTAAAATATGTTTTTCTATAAGGAAATATATATTTTGCAATTAGGCTCCGCCCCATAATCGCAAAATCCATATTTCCTTGCAGAAATGTACCATTTTAACAATGTTTTAAGCTTCTTGTTGTGAAAACATGGCTATGTATATTAAGAAAAAGAGGCACAACATAAGCCCCGCCCACCCGCCCTGTGTCAATTCTGATGATTTTATTTATTGGTCGTGAGCCAAGAAGGCGGAGCTTAACTGCAAAATCCATATTTCTCTACGAGAAATTGCAAACATGTTTTTAATTTCTTGTTCTGAAAAGACAACTACGTATATTAACAACAAAAGATAAAATATAAGCCCCGCCCACCCACCCTGACTGTGTAGACTTCTTTTCACAACATGAAACTTAAAATATGTTTTTGTATAAGGAAATATATATTTTGCAATTAAGGTCCGCCCCATAATCGCAAAATCCACATTTCCTTGCAGAAATGTACCATTTTAACAATGTTTTAAGTTTCTTGTTGTGCAAAGATGGCTATGCATATTAAGGAAAAAAAAAAAGGCGAAATGTAAGCCCCGCCCACCCGCCCTATCTCAATTCTGATGAATTTTTCATTCATTGTCAGACCGAGGGGCGGAACCTAATTGCAAATTCGATACTTTCCTAAAAAATTTACCATTTTAAACATGTTTAACCTTTCTTGCTGTGAAAAGAAGACTACACATTTTTTTAAAAAAGGGCAAAAATGGAAGCTGTTGTATTTAAAATACCTAATTTGTTTTTGAGAGGAATAGGAATAGATACATCTATATATCAGATGTTTTTGAGTACTTTTAGACAACTGAAATTTTTCTAATGGTCTTCAAATTCTTCAAGTTTCGACCCATTTTTCAACATTTTCTAAACTTAATGAAATACATTTTCTGATAGATTTGGAATTTTTAAAAAATTTTACTTTAAAACCGTACATTTTGAAAATGTTGAAGATAAACACACTATATTTTTTTTTAAATGAAATTTTGGACCCATTTTTGACCATTTTCGAAACTTGACTAAATACTTCGCTTCCGGCCTCGTTCAACAAAAATTTTTGGACAATATTTCATGATAGAGACATTAAAACAAGAAAATATCACTCCCAACACTACTAATATATACCTAGGAGTGCCAAGCGACATATCTAGAACTCGAGTCACCCTTGAAACTAATTGTGCATGTCTTCTCTGAAACGACGTGAAAGAAATCATCTACTTAACTTCCGTAAACGGAACCGGAACCGCAAAGATATCTGGAAAAAGTAGAACGGTAAATTTGCCTCAGTGACGCATTTCTTGGAGTCGAAATCTGGTCAACTACCGGTTGCGGTTACGTCGAACCCGATGCGTACAAGCGTGTCCTTAAATTTTCACACGAATGAGAAACGAGCACTCCATGCGTGTTGTATGCGATACTTTTCGTCGGCGAAATTCTCCGAGTTTGACACACTTATTTTACACTTTCCTAAACGGTCCCCAAAATTAACTCAAACGCGGTTGGAGTTTCGGTCAGTTTTACTCGCCAAAATCGTTTCAATTGAATTGACTTACATGAGGTTTTAATGTTTCCTAATTAAACTGTTTTCTAAAAGAATATTTTAGCGTGGTAGTAATTACTAATTAGTGAAGGTTCGTGACCCGTGCAGTACGAAAAAATTTTGAGGAAAAATTTTTTCCCGTAATCACCGCAGATGTATCCGTCTGAAAACGATTTATTTTCCGTGTTGGTTTACTTTAGATTAGATTACGTTTTGCCACTCCAGGTTTTTCCAATCATCAGGCAAATAACGACGCGGTTTTCAAATTCCTGATCATTGTAATTATCATGATCATGAGGAATGAAATTTTTCTGTCTTGATAAAAGTTCAAACGTGACTTCGGTGTGACAGGTGTGATCTGAAATTGTAGGTTTTGCATAATAAAAATTCGTTTTCGTATTTTATAGAAACCCGATGAACTTTAGAATCGGCGCTTTTGCAATAGATAATTTCATCGGTCTAGGCATTGAGTGAATTATTGGAGGAAATAAAACTGTTTCGTTGCTTATTTAAATCTACGTAGTGAAGTTTGTTATGCAATAGGCAAAAACACCATAATATGCATTAATTTATGCAAATTAATGTTAATAGAGTAAAAGTGTTATTGTTATTTACTAAACGAATTTGAAATTTTATTATTATTAGTGTAGCGGTCGGATTTAACTCTGAAATGTGTCATTGCTTGCGGCGGACTTTTTTTAGTAATAATAGTAATAACGGCACGAGATAATATAGAAAGTGTAAACACTCGACGATTATCAGTTTGTTCACATAAACTTGGGTAAATTGTGATTCTTATCTGTTATCCCTTGATGTGTATTCAAGGTCGAACTTCCGTCGTTTTTTATTACCTTTTTCATTTCTCCGATTTTTCGAATTTTCGATTTTTTTTTAATTAGGTAGTACATATAGGTGTCTCGATTTCTCATTTTTTTGATTTTTCAATTAAGTGTTATGATAAATTTCATTTTTCATTAGGGATCTTTGAATTTTTGAAAAGTTTATTTTTAGCTCGTTACTCGCATTATTGTACCGAAAAATTAAAAGCGCTGATAATTTATACAATAGGTGTTGCTAGATGGAAAAGATAACATAATCATAATCATAAGTAGCCCATTTATTGATATTTATAGTATTGTGACATACTCAGAAAAAAAAATCCCTATGATTACGCACTTCGCCTTGTTTGTTTTCCCTCTTTACACGCCACCAAACGCCTCGATTTCACGACGGACGCATAAAATTTAACGCTCCGTATTTACACCCTCGTTACCACCGAATATATCGTCCAATTTCCTCAGATGCCCTCCCATTCAAGAAGGGGTCGTTGTACTCGGGCCTTATTTATCTTCGCCGATGCAAGGGGGCGTTGTTCTATCACGAACTGACACAATTAATCGGACTTTCGCTATTTGTACGTTTGCGGTCTTCTACTTGAACTTTCTATAGAAAAATGTCTCGAGACTAGAGCAGATAGATTCCTGAGACGGTCATCCTGTTTGCTTGCAGATAAGACGGCGACATGTTCAACTTTATCAAAAAGGCTGGAACCGGCGTGACCTCGGATAAAGACGAGAAGGAGAAACGGAAACGAGACAAAAAGGACCGGAAGGAAAAACAAAAAAGGGAACGTGCCAGTATGTCAGCCGAGGAACTATTAAGATTGGACGAGGTAATTCCCGTTTTCTCATCGCGAACGAATCGTTTTAATTTTTTGGCTAAATCGCGTTGTTATTTTTTTTTTATACATATAGGAAGAAAATTAGTTGTCAGATATACACGACAGCAATTTTTTTCTGCGGTTTGAATCGTAACTTTTAACATTTAGCGAATTTTAATTTAATTGGTACCCTAGATTTCACTTTCGTTGTGACAGAATAGTCGCACATTTTTCTTAAGGCGTTGTTTTTTCTCTTCTTCGCTGTTATTTCGTTTTACTTTTGTATTATTTAAAGAAACTGAATCTGCGCGGGAAAAATTTAGACCGGCGTGGCGTCTGAAAGGCCGAAATTTTACTTCATTTAAAAGTTATAAAATTTGGATTCGAAGTAATTTCAAGGAATCTCGACCTTTTTTCTCTTTCTTTGAAGTAATAAGTAAGAATCTTGATCTTTCTGTGTCTTAAGTATCTGTAAACTAATTTGAAAGAATCTCGATCTTTCTGTCTATTGTTTTTGAAGTAATTCGAAAAAATCTCGATCTTTTTATGTGTTTCTTTGAAGTAATTTGAAAGAATCTCGATCTTTCTGTGTCTTGACTTTGGAGTAATTTGAAAGAATCTTGAGCTTTCTGTGTCTTATCTTTGAAGTAATTTGTAAGAATCCCAACCTTTTTGTGTCTTACCTTTGAAGTAATTTGAAAGAATCTTGATCTTTTTGTGTCTTTCTTTAAAGTAATTTGTGAGAATCTCGATCTTTGTGTCTTGTTTCTCAAGTCATTTAAAAGAATCTCGACTTTTCTGTGCCTTGATTTTGGAGTAAATTGAATTAGTCTTGAACTTTCTGTGTCTTATCTTTGAAATAATTTCAAAGAATCTCGATCTTTCTATGCCTTGCCTTTGGAGTAAATCGAACGAATCTTGAGCTTTGTGTGTCTTATCTTTGAAGTAATTTGTAGGAATCTCGAGCTTTCTGTGTCTTACCTTTGAAGTAATTTGAAAGAATCTTGATCTTTTTGTGTCTTTCTTTAAAGTAATTTGTGAAAATCTCGATCTTTATGTGTCTTGTTTCTCAAGTTATTTAAAAGAATCTCGATCTTTCTGTGCCTTGATTTTGGAGTAAATTGAATGAGTCTTGAACTTTCTGTGTCTTATCTTTGAAGTAATTTGTAGGAATCTCGACCTTTCTGTGTCTTACCTTTGAAGTAATTTGAAAGAATCTTGATCTTTTTGTGTCTTTCTTTAAAGTAATTTGTGAGAATCTCGATCTTTCTGTGCCTTGATTTTGGAGTAAATTGAATGAGTCTTGAACTTTCTGTGTCTTATCTTTGAAATAATTTCAAAGAATCTCGATCTTTCTATGCCTTGACTTTGGAGTAAATTGAACGAATCTTGAGCTTTCTGTGTCTTATCTTTGAAGTAATTTGTAGGAATTTCGACCTTTCTGTATCTTACCTTAGAAGTAATTTGAAAGAATCTTGATCTTTTTGTGTCTTTCTTTAAAGTAATTTGTGAGAATCTCGATCTTTCTGTGCCTTGATTTTGGAGTAAATTGAATGAGTCTTGAACTTTCTGTGTCTTATCTTTGAAATAATTTCAAGAATCTCGATCTTTCTATGCCTTGACTTTGGAGTAAATTGAACGAATCTTGAGCTTTCTGTGTCTTATCTTTGAAGTAATTTGTAGGAATCTCGACCTTTCTATGTCTTACCTTAGAAGTAATTTGAAAGAATCTTGATCTTTTTGTGTCTTTCTTTAAAGTAATTTGTGAGAATCTCGATCTTTCTGTGCCTTGATTTTGGAGTAAATTGAATGAGTCTTGAACTTTCTGTGTCTTATCTTTGAAATAATTTCAAGAATCTCGATCTTTCTATGCCTTGACTTTGGAGTAAATTGAACGAATCTTGAGCTTTCTGTGTCTTATCTTTGAAGTAATTTGTAGGAATCTCGACCTTTCTATGTCTTACCTTAGAAGTAATTTGAAAGAATCTTGATCTTTTTGTGTCTTTCTTTAAAGTAATTTGTGAGAATCTCGATCTTTCTATGCCTTGATTTTGGAGTAAATTGAATGAGTCTTGAACTTTCTGTGTCTTATCTTTGAAATAATTTCAAGAATCTCGATCTTTCTATGCCTTGACTTTGGAGTAAATTGAACGAATCTTGAGCTTTCTGTGTCTTATCTTTGAAGTAATTTGTAGGAATCTCGACCTTTCTGTGTCTTACCTTTGGAGTAATTTGAAAGAATCTTGATCTTTTTGTGTCTTTCTTTAAAGTCATTTGCGAGAATCTCGATCTTTCTGTGTCTTGTTTCTCAAGTCATTTAAAAGAATCACGATCTTTCTGTGCCTTGATTTTGGAGTAAATTGAAAGAGTTTTGAACTTTCTGTGTCTTATCTTTGAAATTATTTCAAAGAATCTCGATCTTTCTATGCCTTGACTTTGGAGTAAATCGAACGAATCTTGAGCTTTCTGTGTCTTATCTTTGAAGTAATTTGTAGGAATCTCGACCTTTCTGTGTCTTAACTTTGAAGTAATTTGAAAGAATCTTGATCTTTTTGTGTCTTTCTTTAAAGTAATTTGTGAGAATCTCGATCTTTCTGTGTCTTGTTTCTCAAGTTATATAAAAGAATCTCGATCTTTCTGTGCCTTGATTTTGGAGTAAATTGAATGAGTGTTGAACTTTCTGTGTCTTATCTTTGAAATAATTTCAAAGAATCTCGATCTTTCTATGCCTTGACTTTGGAGTAAATTGAACGAATCTTGAGCTTTCTGTGTCTTATCTTTGAAGTAATTTGTAGGAATCTCGACCTTTCTGTGTCTTACCTTTGGAGTAATTTGAAAGAATTTTGATCTTTTTGTGTCTTTCTTTAAAGTAATTTGTGAGAATCTCGATCTTTCTGTGTCTTGTTTCTCAAGTTAAATAAAAGAATCTCGAACTTTCTGTGCCTTGATTTTGGAGTAAATTGAATGAGTCTTAAACTTTCTGTGTCTTATCTTTGAAATAATTTCAAAGAATCTCGATCTTTCTATGCCTTGACTTTGGAGTACATCGAACGAATCTTGAGCTTTCTGTGTCTTATCTTTGAAGTAATTTGTAGGAATCTCGACCTTTCTGTGTCTTACCTTTGAAGTAATTTGAAAGAATCTTGATCTTTTTGTGTCTTTCTTTAAAGTGATTTGTGAGAATCTCGATCTTTCTGTGTCTTGTTTCTCAAGTCATTTAAAAGAATCACGATCTTTCTGTGCCTTGATTTTGGAGTAAATTGAAAGAGTTTTGAACTTTCTGTGTCTTATCTTTGAAATTATTTCAAAGAATCTCGATCTTTCTATGCCTTGACTTTGGAGTAAATTGAACGAATCTTGAGCTTTCTGTGTGTTATCTTTGAAGTAATTTGTAGGAATCTCGACCTTTCTGTGTCTTACCTTAGAAGTAATTTGAAAGAATCTTGATCTTTTTGTGTCTTTCTTTAAAGTAATTTGTGAGAATCTCGATCTTTCTGTGTCTTGTTTCTCAAGTCATTTAAAAGCATCTCGATCTTTCTGTGCCTTGATTTTGGAGTAAATTGAATGAGTCTTGAACTTTCTGTGTCTTATCTTTGAAATAATTTCAAAGAATCTCGATCTTTCTGTGCCTTGATTTTGGATTAAATTGAATGAGTCTTGAACTTTCTGTGTCTTATCTTTGAAATAATTTGTAGGAATCTCGACCTTTCTGTGTCTTACCTTTGAAGTAATTTGAAAGAATCTTGATCTTTTTGTATCTTTCTTTAAAGTAATTTGTGAGAATCTCGATCTTTCTGTGTCTTGTTTCTCAAGTCATTTAAAAGAATCACGATCTTTCTGTGCCTTGATTTTGGAGTAAATTGAAAGAGTTTTGAACTTTCTGTGTCTTATCTTTGAAATAATTTCAAAGAATCTCGATCTTTCTGTGCCTTGATTTTGGATTAAATTGAATGAGTCTTGAACTTTCTGTGTCTTATCTTTGAAATAATTTGTAGGAATCTCGACCTTTCTGTGTCTTACCTTTGAAGTAATTTGAAAGAATCTTGATCTTTTTGTATCTTTCTTTAAAGTAATTTGTGAGAATCTCGATCTTTCTGTGTCTTGTTTCTCAAGTCATTTAAAAGAATCTCGATCTTTCTGTGCCTTGATTTTGGGATAAATTGAATGAGTCTTGAACTTTCTGTGTCTTATCTTTGAAATAATTTCAAAGAATCTCGATCTTTCTATGCCTTGACTTTGGAGTAAATTGAACGAATCTTGAGCTTTCTGTGTCTTATCTTTGAAGTAATTTGTAGGAATCTCGACCTTTCTGTGTCTTACCTTTGAAGTAATTTGAAAGAATCTTGATCGTTTTGTATCTTTCTTTAAAGTAATTTGTGAGAATCTCGATCTTTCTGTGTCTTGTTTCTCAAGTCATTTAAAAGAATCTCGATCTTTCTGTGCCTTGATTTTGGAGTAAATTGAAAGAGTCTTGCACTTTCTGTGTCTTATCTTTGAAATAATTTCAAAGAATCTCGATCTTTCTATGCCTTTACTTTGGAGTAGATTGAACGAATCTTGAGCTTTCTGTGTCTTATCTTTGAAGTAATTTGGAGGAATCTCGACCTTTATGTGTCTTACCTTTGAAGTAATTTGAAAGAATCTTGATCTTTTTGTGTCTTTCTTTAAAGTAATTTGTGAGAATCTCGATCTTTATGTGTCTTGTTTCTCAAGTTGTTTAAAAGAATCTCGATTTTTCTGTGCCTTGATTTTGGAGTAAATTGAAAGAGTCTTGAACTTTCTGTGTCTTATCTTTGAAATAATTTCAAAGAATCTCGATCTTTCTATGCCTTTAATTTGGAGTAGATTGAACGAATCTTGAGCTTTCTGTGTCTTATCTTTGAAGTAATTTGGAGGAATCTCGACCTTTCTGTGTCTTACCTTTGAAGTAATTTGAAAGAATCTTGATCTTTTTGTGTCTTTCTTCAAAGTAATTTGTGAGAATATCGATCTTTCTGTGTCTTGTTTCTCAAGTCATTTAAAAGAATCTCGGTCTTTCTGTGCCTTGATTTTGGAGTAAATTGGATGAGTCTTGAACTTTCTGTGTCTTATCTTTGAAGTAATTTGTAGGAATCTCGACCTTTCTGTGTCTTACCTTTGAGAGATTTCTATGTCTTATCTTTGAAGTAATTTGTAAGAATCTCGATCTTTCTGTGTCTTGTTTCTCAAGTCATTTAAAAGAATCTCGATCTTTCTGTGCCTTGATTTTGGAGTAAATTGAAAGAGTTTTGAACTTTCTGTGTCTTATCTTTGAAATAATTTCAAAGAATCTCGATCTTTCTATGCCTTGACTTTGGAGTAAATTGAACGAATCTTGAGCTTTCTGTGTCTTATCTTTGAAGTAATTTGTAGGAATCTCGACCTTTCTGTGTCTTACCTTTGAAGTAATTGGAAAGAATCTTGATCTTTTTGTGTCTTTCTTTAAAGTAATGTGTCAGAATCTCGATCTTTCTGTGTCTTGTTTCTCAAGTCATTTAAAAGAATCTCGATCTTGCTGTGCCTTGACTTTGGACTAATTTGAAAGAGTCTTGAGATTTCTGTGTCTTACTTTTAACGTAATTTGAAAGAATCTTGATCTTTTTGTGTCTTTCTTTGAAGTAATCGGTGAGAATCTCGATCTCTTTATGTCTTATCTTTGAAGTAATTTAAAAAAATCTCGATCTTTCTGTGTCTTGTTTTTCAAGTCATTTAAAAGAATCTCGATCTTCCTGTACCTAGACTTTGGAGTAAATTGAACGAATCTTGAGCTTTCTGTGTCTTACCTTTAAAGTAATTTGAAAGAATCGTGATCTTTTTGTGCCTTTCTTTGAAGTAATTGGTGAAAATCTCGATCTTTCTATGTCTTATCTTTGAAGTACATAATTTAAAAAGATTTCGATCTTTCTGTGTCTTACCTTTGAAGTAATTTGTAAGAATCTCGATCTTTCTGTGTCTTGTTTTTGAAGTAATTTGAAATAATCTCGAAGACCCCTCGGGTTTTTGAAAGAGATTAAAAAACTTCGCGGAGATCTGTTGTTTTGTTTTTGAAAGTAATTTGAAGAAATCTCGGGGATTCCTTTTACTTTGTTTTTGGAGTAGTTTAAAAGAATCACGAGGATCCGTGGTGTATGGTTTTTGAAGGAGTTTTTGAAAGAATCTTGGGAGCCCTTTGTTTTGTGTTTTTGAAGTACATAGTTTGAAAGCATCTCGGGAACCCTTCGTGCTTGGTTTTTGATGGAGTTTAAACAATCTTGGGGACATCTTTTGTTTTGTTTTTGAAGTAATTTGAAAAAATCTCGGGGATTCCTTTTGTTTTGTTTTTGAAGTAGTTTGAAAGAATCTCGGGGAACCTTTTGTTTTGTGTTTTTGAAGTAGTTGAAAGAATCTCAAGTACCACTTTTGTTTTGTTTTTGATGTAATTTGAAAGAATTTCGAGGATCCTTTGTGCCCGGTTTTTGAAGTAGTTTTTGAAAGAATCTTGGGAAGCCTTTTCTTTTGCGTTTTTGAAGTACATAGTTTGACAGAATCTCGAGGATCCCTTGTATTTGCTTTTGGAGTAATTTGAAAGAATTTCGGGGTTTGTACCCCTGACAAGTGTTACTTTGTTCTTGTATTTTACTTTTCTCATTTTCTTTGTTCACTTTTTTATTAGAAATTGTGTAATTTTCGCCAATTTTCTTTCCAGGTCCGCCGCTCCCTGAAAATCCGCGGCCGCCGCAAAGAAAAAGAGAAACTCCCTTCCGGCATCACCGCCGACTACACGGCCGACTTCCTCGCTAGCCTCGAGCGCGTCGAATCCCCCGCTTCCGCCCTCCCCGGCTCCCCATCCCACATCAATCACCTCCAGGAAGGCTACACCCAATCCGACAGCTCCGAAACCAGCCTCAACTCCCTCAACAACCCCCAGCCCACCAAAATCCTCCCGCCCCTCCCCCCCAAACCCCCGAAGCGCGGCATCCTCAAGACGCCCCGCGTCAGCGTCACCCACGACAACGGCCACGACAGCCTCGTCCGCAACACCATCCAGAACGAGGTCATCGCCTACCAGAACGTCCCCAATGGCGGCGTCGACACCAAGAACCTCGGCTCCGAGCTGCTCGTCATCACGTCGACCTCCCCCAGCGCCGACAGCCTCACCGACACGACGAACTCGTCGTTCGCGACGCCGCCCTTCTCGCTCAGTCCCGTCGGCGAGTCGCAGGGTTTCCACCGGTGGTCGCGCACGTCCAACTTCGACGACGTCGATCTGCCGCCGCCGCCGATCGCGCCGCTGGTGCTGCCCAAGCCGCGGACGCTGGTCATCCAGAGGCAGAAGCCGCCGCGGCACGATTTCGGGTTCTCGCTGCGGCGGGCGATGGTGCTGGAGAGGGTGGTGGGCGGCGGCGGCGACGTGGGCACGCTGACGATGAAGGCGGTGATCTTCGCGGAGCCGGGGGCGATGGTGCAGCACAACAACGAGACGGGGCTGCTGCCGGGGGACAAGCTGCTGGAAGTGAACGGGATCCAAGTGGAGGACAAGACGAGGGAGGAGATCATCGATAAGATCAAGGCGTCGGGGGACAGCGTGACGCTGAAGGTAGGCGGCGGGTGTTTGGGCTCGAAAACGGATTTTGTAGCGGTCGCCGCCCCCTAAATGGCTGATTAGACTTCCGTCGGTGGCGTTTAATGGGTCGTTTAATCCGTCGGAGAACAGATGTTCAGAGCGTTTTTTATTAATTTGTATGTGTGATGACGATGATCAACCGGGCAGACTATAAACAAGTGAGTCATCCCGATTAACGGTCGCTTGCGGAAAAAATTGGGCGAAGGTTGTTTCGACAGAACTTCCCTCGCACTTAAAGTACGAATTGTCAACATTTTTTGCGATTTTTGTTTCGTGATGAGGCTTCTTAACTCTTAAGAGTTTTCTTCAATTTTTTTCAATTTTTTGATTTTGCAGTTTTTCGATTTGAATTTCTCGAGTTTTCAATTTTTAATATTTTAGTTTTTCGATTTGCAATTTTTCGTTTCGGTTTTTCATTGTCTTTACTTTTTCAACTATTCGATTTTTAAAGTTTTCCTTTTTTCAGTTTTTCGATTTGCGATTTTTCAATTTTTAACTTTTTCTTTTTTCAATTTTTCGATTCTTTAATTTTTCATTTTCTCAATTTTTCGGTCTGCAGTTTTTCAATTTTTCATTTTTTGTGGTTCTTCAATTGAACGGTATGCAACTCTTTTTTAAATTTTTCCGTTTTTCGATTTTCCAACTTTTGAATTTTGCAGTTTTTAGACTTTGCAATTTTTAATTGTTAAATTTTTCGATTCTTTAATTTTTCATGTTTTCAATTTTTCGATTTGCAATTTTTCATTTTTTCGTGTTTCTTCAATTTTTTGTTTTCTTCTTTTTTCCAGTTTTTCGATTTTCCAACTTTTGGATTTTTCATTGTTTAATTTTTCAAGTTTTTGGTTCTAAATTTTCCATTTCTTCAAATTTTCGATTCGGGTTTTTTAAATTTCTTAATTTTTTCAATTTTTGCAGCTTTCCGAGTTTTCATTTTTAAATTTTTCAGTTTTTCGATTTTCCTACTTTTGTTTTAGTTTTTAGATTTTGCAATTTTTGGAATTGCAATTTCACGAGTTTTCAATTTTCCGGTTCTTTCATTTGTCGTATATTTAATTTTTCAGTTTTTCGATTTACAATTTTCGAATACGATTTTTCAGTGTTTCAATTTTATATTTTTTTGGTTTTTTTAATTTTAATTTCTTCAATTTTTCGGTTTGCTATTTTTAATTTTTTCATACTTTTTGTTTCTTCACTTTCCAGTTTTGCAATTTTTAATTTTTCAAGTTTTCGATTCTTTAATTTTTCATGTTTTCAATTTTTCGATTTGCAATTTTTCATTTTTTCGTGTTTCTTCAATTTTTTGTTTTCTCCTTTTTTACAGTTTTTCGATTTTCCAACTTTTGGATTTTTCATTGTTTAATTTTTCAAGTTTTTGGTTCTAAATTTTCCATTTCTTCAAATTTCCGATTTGGTTTTTTAAATTTTTAAATTTTTTCAATTTTTGCAGCTTTCCGAGTTTTTGTTTTTAAATTTTTCAGTTTTTCGATTTTCCTACTTTTGTTTGTTTTAGTTTTTAGATTTTGCAATTTTTGGAATTGCAATTTCACGAGTTTTCAATTTTCCGGTTCTTTCATTTGTCGTATATTAAATTTTTCAGTTTTTCGATTTACAATTTTCGAATACGATTTTTCAGTGTTTCAGTTTTATATTTTTTTGTTTTTTTAATTTTAATTTCTTCAATTTTTCGATTTGCTATTTTTCATTTTTTCATACTTTTTGTTTCTTCACTTTTCCGGTTTTGCAATTTTTAATTTTTCAAGTTTTTGATTCTTTAATTTTTCATGTTTTCAATTTTTCGATTTGCAATTTTTCATTTTTTCGTGTTTCTTCAATTTTTTGTTTTCTTCTTTTTTCCAGTTTTTCGATTTTCCAACTTTTGGATTTTTCATTGTTTAATTTTTCAAGTTTTTAGTTCTAAATTTTCCATTTATTCAAATTTCCGATTTGGTTTTTGAAATTTCTTAATTGTTTCAATTTTTGCAGCTTTCCGAGTTTTTATTTTTAAATTTTTCAGTTTTACGATTTTCCTACTTTTGTTTGTTGTAGTTTTTAGATTTTGCAATTTTTGGAATTGCAATTTCACGAGTTTTCAATTTTCCGGTTCTTTCATTTGTCGTATATTAAATTTTTCAGTTTTTCGATTTACAATTTTCGAATACGATTTTTCAGTGTTTCAATTTTATATTTTTTTGTTTTTTCAATTTTAATTTCTTCAATTTTTCGATTTGCTATTTTTCATTTTTTCATACCTTTTTTTTTCTTCACTTTTCCGGTTTTGCAATTTTTAATTTTTCAAGTGTTCGATTCTTTAATTTTTCATGTTTTCAATTTTTCGATTTGCAATTTTTCATTTTTTCGTGTTTCTTCAATTTTTTGTTTTCTTCTTTTTTCCAGTTTTTCGATTTTCCAACTTTTGGATTTTTCATTGTTTAATTTTTCAAGTTTAGGTTCTAAATTTTCCATTTCTTCAAATTTCCGATTTGGTTTTTAAAATTTCTTAGTTTTTTCAATTTTTGCAGCTTTCCGAGTTTTTATTTTTAAATTTTTCAGTTTTTCGATTTTTCTACTTTTGTTTGTTTTAGTTTTTAGATTTTGCAATTTTTGGAATTGCAATTTCACGAGTTTTCAATTTTCCGGTTCTTTGATTTGTCGTATATTAAATTTTTCAGTTTTTCGATTTACAATTTTCGAATACGATTTTTCAGTGTTTCAAGTTTATATTTTTTTGTTTTTTCAATTTTAATTTGTTCAATTTTTCGATTTGCTATTTTTCATTTTTTCATTGTTTCTTCACTTTTCCGGTTTTACAATTTTTAATTTTTCAAGTTTTCGATTCTTTAATTTTTCATGTTTTCAATTTTTCGAATTACAATTTTTCATTTTTTCGTGTTTCTTCAATTTTTTGTTTTCTTCTTTTTTCCAGTTTTTCGTTTTTCCAACTTTTGGATTTTTCATTGTTTAATTTTTCAAGTTTTTGGTTCTAAATTTCCCATTTCTTCAAATTTCCGATTTGGTTTTTTAAATTTCTTAATTTTTTCAATTTTTGCAGCTTTCCGAGTTTTTATTTTTAAATTTTTCAGTTTTTCGATTTTCCTACGTTTGTTTGTTTTAGTTTTTAGATTTTGCAATTTTTGGAATTGCAATTTCACGAGTTTTCAGTTTTCCGGTTCTTTCAATTGTCGTATATTAAATTTTTCAGTTTTTCGATTTACAATTTTGGAATACGATTTTTCAGTGTTTCAATTTTATATTTTTTTGTTTTTTCAATTTTAATTTCTTCAATTTTTCGATTTGCTATTTTTCATTTTTTCAAACTTTTTGTTTCTTCACTTTTTCGGTTTTGCTATTTGTCATTTTTCAAGTTTTCGATTCTTTAATTTTTCATTTCTTTGCAATTTTTTATTTAGGTTTTTTCTTTCTTTATTTTTACATTTTTCGACTTTTCAATGTTTCAATTTAATTATTTCTTTTAGGTATTTTGTTTTCTGCATTTTTTCAATTTTCCGGTTTTTCAATATTTTGATTTATAATTTTTCTTTTTCTCAATGTGCATTTTTTTAATTTTTCGATCTTTCAGTATTACAGTTTGTCGACTTTACAATTTTGGGTTTTCCAATTTTTCAATTCATTAATTTTTTTTTCTAAAGTTTCTCGATTTTTCGTTTATTCAGTTTTTCCGATTTTGTACTTTTTCGATTTTTCAATTTTTCGAATTAAAAAAAAATGGAAATATTCCAAAATTAATTGTAAAATCGAAAAATCGAAAAACTGGAAATCAAGAATTTTAAAAATTGAAGAAACGAAAAATTGAAAAATTGGGAAACTTAAAAATCGAAAAAGGACAAAAACAAAAAAGCAACATATGTGTTGCCAAATCGAAATATTGAAAATTAAAACATCGGAAAATCGAATAATAGAAAATCAAAAAATTGCAAAATTGAAACATTTAAAAACTGGCAAATTTGAACAATTCAATCAACGAAAAATGACAAAATCAAAAGAAACATTGACAAAAGAACGAAAATATGTATAAAAAGGAAAAATTGTGACATAAAATCGAGGAAATAAAAATTAAAAAATCGAGAAAATTAAAAATAAAAATTTGGTCAAAGGGTAAATAAATCGAGATTTTTGGAAGACATGATTTTACGAATTTTATTTGAAGCGTGCTGCGCGATGTTTCGAGTGAGTTTTTTCATTACAAAATTTTGTGATGACGTAATCAATTTTTTGAGAGAGGTTAAAAGAATAAATTTTGATTAACGATTGTTATTTAATTGCTTACGATAACCTCAGAACGTTTACAAGATTTCAGAGCACTCGGTTTTGCAGTTTCAAAGTCAAATTATAAAATGTCATACAATTTTGATTTTTTTTCCAAAAATCTGAAAATCTATGGTAAAAAATTAACATAGGTTCATAAACCATTACAACTCGATTACAACAAGTTCAAAAATGGTAGCAAGCGTCAGTTCATTAGCGAGTTGTTAGCACACTTATCAGATGAAATCGCAGCAGGTGTTGTAGTATTTTTAGTAGAACAAATACGCCGCGATTTTAGAACAAACCTTGCCAAAATCTTTGTCTTGTTTTCGTTGGGGACAGTTATCTACAGTATTGTGGTGTTAAATTCGGATTTTTCCTAATAAGTGTGTAGGTATATCGGAACACCATTAACTGCTTGAGAAAATATAACGGTGCTGCGGGCAACGGACACTAATTAGTAATTACCTACTCTCACGTAAACACAATAATTAAACGATGCAAATTAAAATATTACTAGCAATTACTATTATATAAGAATGCAGATACGTGTACATATTTTAATTGATTGATTTTGTCGTGCTGCTGTTCCTGGGTTATAACCGAAGGAAACACATAACGTTGTTAAATAATAAATTCCATAAGCAACTTTCGACTTTTATCCTTCTCGTTTCTTACGTCAACCAATAAACAAATATTATTTGATAAGA